GGGGAATTCTGGGAGTTGAAGTCCACACATCTTAAAGTTGTTAAGGTTGAGAAACACTGGTCTATGCAGTCAAAACCAAAGGAGCTTTGCTACTATGTTATGATTTTGTTTGTGGAATACCATAAGAAATATATAAAATTATATTTTCCCTGGTAAACACTAGCCCAGTTTTAATATGAATAGGTTTTTCTTCCCACTTGATTGATATAAAATGTTAAGATTTTACTGCTCATACTACCATATGGTTAAGGCATATAAGAAAAATAAGAGGATCCAGCTGCATAGCCCCTAATTTGAAGAAAGGGAAAGAAAAAGAATGCTTGTTCTTGAGCCAAAATAACAAGGATTTTGTACGCTCAAAGTCAGTATTTCATCTGTTCTAAGCAGTTAACTTGTTCAAATGTCAGTAAAGCTTCAGTCAGTGAGTGAAGAGGACAGCAATTTATTCCCCTTCACTCGGACCCTTCCTGAGTTCTCAAATCCACTCAGGCGGTTAGAGGACAATCTGAAACAAATTCAGGGAAATAGGTGAGGTGCAAAGTCCTATTCTGTGAGTAAACGTACATCTGTCAATGGATTTGTCTCTACAGTTTAATGTGGATTCAATAAAAGTATTGATAAATGTCACTGTGCTATTTAACCAGGGCCATAATTAACACAGTGCATAACTGATTGACAAGTCTCAAAGGAAATAATTACATCTAAATGTAATTAATAATACAATGGTATGATCCTAAACAAGGTATTGATGGGATAGAAGCAGTCCTCCTGTCCTCCCTAACTACTTTGTAAGTTGGCTGAATGATAGAAACTGAAATCTAACATTTGGAGGGCCAAAGAACTGTACTATTTCCGTAACAGAGAGAGAGAAGCTGAGGTCTTCAAACAACGGAAGCTGCTCAAAACAGATAATAGTCTTAATCCAGAGCACTAATTATGTTCTCCTTTCAGTGCAATCAATGCCAGTGTTAACTGAAACTCCACTGATTTCCTTGGATTTAACTGGTATTCACTTTTATTAGACTGAGATCACGAGGGTCAAGATAAATTTGAAAAGTAGATAATACACACTAATTGTAGAGAGCTGAAACTCCTAATGCATGACTGAATCTAGATATTAATCTGTAAATTTATAATGCTTTTGCAAGACATGGGACCTTTTTTAGATTATTTCTTTAGAAATAATGTGCCAAAGTGAAGTTAAAGAAAGGTCATCGTGCAAAGGATTGGTTCTTTTTAATACAGAAGAGATAACAACTGTATGCCTACATCTGATAATTTCAAGAAAAACTATCCTAGAAAACATCCTGGTTGTTGCAAGGATACTTCTAAGCAGAATGGTAAAGTTGCAGTACGGCAGGTGGAAACAGCTCAAAAAGCAGTAAGAAGGAAAACACTATTTCAGCGGAGAAACTTCACAATATCAGCTGTCGTATTTGTATGAGTGTACCAAGCTAAGGCTAAAAATACCCTAATACCAACCTGCAAAGGATACAATAGACTATATGCCTGCGAGGCTCGCCCCAATATTTGAAACAACCAAAATATCTGCAGAAGATCCATATGCTGCTATTTGGCTGCTAAGGATATTTTCACAGACCTCAGGTAAGTTGAAATGAAGATACCATTCATTCACGGGCTGACCTAGCCACTTTGGCCCAGTTCATGAGAATGGGCTGTTAAAATTGCTGCCCGCTTTACAGCTAAGCCAACAACTCACCTTTTCTTGCTGCCTTGGAAAGAGCAGTTAAGAGTGGGAAGGAAAAGCTAATATGTGGGCTAGAGACATGCAGCCTAACTCAGCGCTCTGACATGACTATGCCAGGATTCTGGACCAGGCAGAGTGGGTACGGATGTCCTAGCTCTAATAGTACTGAAAATACTGGGATTTAACCTCCTAATGAAAATTTTACCTTCTATGGATTCCTCTTTAGTAGATCTTGATACACATGACGTTTCCATGTACAATATTGCATTAAGTCAACCAAATTCTAAACAGAACTGGGGTTAGCGAGTTTAGGATGTAGTTGATAGCTCTTAATAAGTGAAGCCTTTCAAACTGCTTCAACCATCTATGTAGCATATTAAAAAAGAATTTAAAAAGGGGGAAAGATTTCTCTAAACATTATTACTTTCATCACGCACACTCAAGGATATCCAGCTATTCCTCCTTACATCTTCATTAAAGCATCCGGAAGCAAATATTGCAACATTTTATTATCAGAAATGCCATTCTGTTCAAAGGGAGTTCTTTATACGGGATATTTTTTTCTGTCAGTCACAACCACTACATTTTTCAAGGGTTTCAATTTAGTTAACTTGTATTATTTAGAGCATATTCTGAATCTATGATATCCAGGTAAAGAAAAGGGTCAATCAAATTTGAATTGTTTGTAGTTTGTTGCACTGCAAAGTTTGAAAATTCCTGTCTTAGTGATGTTGTTGTGACTCTTGTGTTTTTTAAATCTTTGTTGAAAGAATATAGCACTTCTAAAGACACATTAGTATGTTCTGACAATTAACTACTTTGATATTTCTCATTTTGAACGGCTAACACGCTGAATTATTGTCTAAAAAGGTCGTTGCCAAATTTAAGTAATACTCCTGCATTCATTATAGGACCAAAACAATTAGATGCCTCAAGCAAGCTCTTTACAGACAGGGTCTTGTTTCAACAAATCATGGAAACTATGCATTTGATTTCCTTTCTGGGTCCCTGGCAGCTCCAGAACAGCCAACATTGAATCTTAGACCATGCAGCGTTTAGACTGCTGCAGATGTCTGAAAGTTTTGCTGCTTGCAACAGCCCAAGGATTGCTCTTATGCAAGAAAAGTTATTATAAGTCTTCGCTGCTACAAGCTAATTCACAAAAGTACATCAGTGTCTAAGTATAAATGATAGTTTGAAATGTTACAATAAATAACTTACAGCTGTATATACTATGTTCTCACTCTGCATGCATACGTGATGGATGCTTGCTTGTAAAAAAGCAGTTAAGTGAGATAATACGTGAAACATTATCTTTTAGGTGCAACCATCATTTTGTAAACAGTACTGTTTTACAAGTTTAAGGTAATTAAAATATATGGCTGAACCCAGAACAAAACTTAGAAAATATTTCTTAATTTCAGCAGTATATTTTCAATGTTTGGGTAACCTGATGTAGCTAATGAAGTGTTTATTAGCTGCTAAAAACAATCATGCAGTTCCATCTTTAATTCATTCCATACAAGTACACTCTATGGAACCTAACAAGATCTCAAAATCAGTGGACATCCAAGTAACAGATCATATTCCTTGCTCGACTGTAAAGACACAACAGTTGTTTCCCTATTTAGCATTGTCATTTTAAGAGCTGGTATTTGCTGGCAGTTAAGTTTTCTATAGGTAAACAGATGAAAACACTAAGGACAGTGATTAGAGATCTTCTATTTAGAAATGCCAATCTTCATCATTTGAGTAATCTTTATTTTTCTACTATTGTCACAATCTGAATTTTCTGCTGTAATACCTATAGAAAAGGAATCAAAAGGAATTTAATCCTAAATATTTTATTAGTAGTGTATGGTCCATAAATTTCAAATGGTAATAATGCCATCCTACATACATTCATTTAGAAATAAACACAAAGTGTTCAATGGGAGTTATTATAAGCATAAGCAGATTGGCAAACTAAACAGCATACACCTATAATGAAGAAATTATAATTGAAGGAGGGGTTCTGGTGCTTATATCTGTGTTGAGGAAAACTAGGATGAAGTGTAGAAGTGGAGGATTTTCCCAGGAAACTTTTTTCCTCAGAATTACTAGAAAGGATGACTAAATTAAAAAAAAAAGGGTACAGATGAGTTGATGGATGATTTCACCCTACGTACTGTAATGACAGCTATTATTTTTAATAAATTTTAGGTTCACAAAAAATATACAGTTCTTAAAATGTAAATCTAAGGCACACAAAATTACCATACCAATTTAATGTATATATCCAAGAAGCAGAAAACTGCTGGTACAAAATGATGATATAATATTGACTTTTATTATTTACAATCATTACATATTCTGTATCTGAACTAACCATAATCTTTGAACTAAAAAATGCAGCATATGGGTGGGGTTTTTTAATTCTTTTTTTTATAAAGTTCACTTTAAAAATAGAAAGATTGGATTCTTTTTCTCTTTATATACTTTTCTAGAATGTTTTAATTCCGGTTATTCAATAAGCTGTGGCATAAAGATTGCTAACGGTATTTTGACTAACAAGTGTGGAGATGTGATCCAAAATTAAGTTTGCCAGCCATGTTTGATGATATTCAGCGGGTACCTCTTTGTAAGATTATAACAGGTTGAGCTTTCTCAACCCTCACCAAAATGAGTGAAACTTGCTGGATTACATTCCCCTGATTTCAGTGAAACATCTCATCTCAGAACATCTCAAATTTGACTTAGGCAAATTTCTCTAACATCTATCTGAAAGATAGATCAGCTGCCTAAGTGGGAATGCAATGGGCAAACATAAAAAAATCTAGCACCAGAGTCTTGCCTTACATACATACATAACATTTAACATGATCAGCATCACCTATAATGGCATCAATCAGCTATTTGGTCAGAGACTGGGAGGACAGACACCCAGAAGTATCCAAACATGCTGTTCTTACCTTCACTTTGCCTGACAACTTACTTGTACTGCTAGATAGAACAGTGGTAATTCCCCTTTCAGGAAGGACAAAGTGGATAAGCTCCACAGTGGGACTGTTGTCTATGATGGCGGCCTTGAAGTCTTAGACCAGTGTGAATGTCTAACATTACCCAAATGAGTTACATGAGTAAGTGGAATGAATTCCACATTCTGAACATTCAGAATCATAGGTGACTTAGAGTAAACCAGTATTCCCCAAGCTAGTGTTTTTAATATGTTTTTTTTACTTCCACTCCAATAATCCTCCAGTCACCAAATTCTTTGGAGAAGGCTGGGGCAAGCTATACAAATCAACTATTTCTTTGTTTTTGAAATTATCTTTTCAGATTAATTACACAACAAGGGTAGACATTTAATAATAATAAAAGCACCATGCCTAGATTTTGTTAAAAAAAAAAGCAGATCTAGACATTTGTTACAGCACCACTATAAGATATTATCAAGTATGTTATCTTAAATCTTTTATTTCTAGTTATTCCTGTGGCACTTATGTACATCATTGGGGGGGGGGGGGGGGGAGAGAAAGAGATGTAAAACCAAAAAACCTCATGCTTGCCCTGATTAGGTTGGATTGGTCAATATCAGTAAATAGCCCCATTCTTGAATATAAGCTACAGGATGTGTTGCTTACAAAGGCTCATAATATGATAATAACTGGCTAATTCAAATTACCAAACTATACAAAAAGTAAAGCCTGAGATAGTCCCATAATGTTTAAATTCAGATGTTGTCATTAGGACAAATGAATGCTAGATGATTTGGTTAATTCATTATTTGGAATCAAGGCCTGATTCCAACAAGCACAACCATTGAGTTCTGCTCAAATTGGACTGATCAAACTCACTGGGTTAGCATCAATAATATATGTCCTTTAGACCATGGCTTCCAAATAATTAAGACAGGTAAAATCCCTGGCATTCAATTGCCCAAAAATCTGATCTTCTTACTTAGGAATTTGCTTCTTCCCTTTTCCTCATTCAGAAATATACTGGATTCTCCTGGTTCTGGCCGACTAGAGTCCTGAGCTATATTTTAATATCTCGTCATCAGAGCTGACGAGAGCAGTGTTGATCACACAGATGCTGTTGTATCACACTTGAGATTTTCAGTATTTAATATTACAGCTCTGTGATTACTGGATCATTTAATGTTGCTCCTGTTAAACAAAGGATGTGGACATTGCAGATAACAGATGCTGAGAAATGAGAAACAGTAGCAAGATGTTGGGAAAACACAGCCTATGATATACCTGCTAAGCTACATGACAGCTTTCAGGTCTGAGGGAAGACATCACTCTTCCACTAGTATTGAATTGAGATTCATTTTTTACTCTAGTTAACGTCTATCTGTGGAATGGATGCCTGCCTCGGACAGCTAAATCTCTTCCCATTTATCCTGATTACAACTTGGCAGTTATGTTCCCTGGTTCTTGACTGAAACAAAAACTTGAGCTGATCAATCCAGCCATTGCACTTTAGTAATTTAATTAGCAAGCTCTGGCACGTGGAGTGCAAACAGGAACACTGCTCAGAGTTCCCAGGTTGGAAAACATTTGCAAACACTCTGCACCTGTAATGCTGTAGAGGTTACCATTCAGAAAAGGGTATGAAGTGTATGTCACATAGTTATTTTGCCACCAAGAAGTCACCCATCATACTGTAGATGGGTCTCCAACACAGACAGCAGAAACAGATGGCTGCCTATCACAGATCCCATTTTCTAACTGGAGGTGCCAAGTAGGCTGTGGAACTGTGCCCATTTTGTGGAAATTAATCTCTTGAATATTGGTGTTTCTTATTCTGACATGGGGAGGGGGGGGAAGAGAGGAGAAAATTGTGTACAATACAATCAGATGTTCGCTTACCTGGCACAGTGGGATTCAGCTTCAAGTAAACCTGCCTAGACTGGACTGATAAAACCTTCTCTAGTGGACAGCTCACCACTGAGGAACCTTCTGGATGCTTAATCAACTCAGATGTATTCTAACACTGCTGACAGGGCAGATCTCTTAAAATCCAACATATTGCATTTGCAATTTATGCCACTGAGGCTCTAGTAAAATCCTTTCCTAACAGGGTGACTTCCAGATGTATGGAACTGCATCCTGGCAGCTGTATGCCAATCCATCTGGATGACGCTTGATTGGGTTGTCCCATGGAACTTGGAATGCTCCCTATGAGACAACATTTGCCCTTATTGCTCAAATTATAAACTCTAGCAAATAAATTCTTCTTAAAAAAAAAACCCTAGAAATACAAGTATAGATAAACTGCTTAATTTATATCTGCAAATATTGAACTTTCTGGACTTTATTACCCTTTTATTTAGAAACAAAAACAATGGAAAAAAAGAGACGGGAAGAATCTAAAACCCAGGTATCCTCAGTATATATGAATTGTTGTAGCAATATGGAACTTTACATAGTAAGAAAAAATAAATTCCTTGGTAGAGAATGCGCAAACCTTAGACAAATGTGATCCTTATACTATTTCAAGTTAACTTTAAAAATAGAAAGTGCTTTTAAATATATATATTTACATTTATAACCTCCAATCATTACTAGTGATATTTGTTTGCATGTGAATGCATGTGGATCATACGCACATGCACACACAAACTATATATACATGAAAAAATCTATATACAAATAAATCATCATTGGTTCTTTTTCCTTAAACTGGGATTCACAGCAGTGATTGGAAGCTGTAAGAGCAATGGCACCATGAAGAAATAAAATCAGCTTATTTTTAACGGTTCGATGTGATTAAGCACCAAGAGCTGTGTATAGCTAATACTGTCTAACTTGATTTTACATAATAAAAGATGAAATCAGTTAAAATCTTTATGAAAAGCCCATTTATAATAAACAGACGATTCAAAGCACCAAAGTATAAATTCCAAAAAGGTAATAAACCAAGTAATTTAATCAGAGTTAATAACCTAGCCAAATTTTCTTAAAGATATAATGTGTGTGTGGTGTGTGGGTGTGAATACACACGCACATATGCACACACACTTGAGAATCGCCAGATGTTAAAATATATAAAGTCACAGTTTAAAAAAAAGTAATTTTTACCTCAGCCTTCAAAATGGTTGAGATGAACAAAGAGTAAACCACATGAGACTTTGTTCTTTAACAGCACCTTTAGGATTGCGTAACACTGCTCCAAGGCAAAAGTTGTCGTTGCTATAAAAGCTTACGCCCAATGGTTATAGGGCCCTGCAACTCGTGTGAGGGCATAAGTAGACACGGTTATGATATTATCGTGAGTTACTGTTAATGCTCTGCGAGATGGAATTTGGTTGAATTCATTTTCTTCATAGAAAATCTCCTGGGTTGCATTGGTCTGGCTCGCATTCTTGTCATCGGCTGGCAGGCTGGTAGTTTCAGTTCCTGACTTTTCAGCTTCTTTCTCTTTCGCTCTCTCGGCCATTTTGGCCTCCCACAGTGCTATCCCGTGTTTTGGCTCATTTAAGTTTTTGTGTTGGTAAAAGACTAAAGAGATCCGCGTGGGATGATTCCTGTTTGGCTTTTTAAGAGGAGTTGTGGCATGCAGTTCGCGCCGTGCACATTCAATTAAGATAGAACCGTGTGATGGTGCTACGGCTACCCCACCAATGTCATTATCCAAAAAGTTATGCTCACTGTCGGACCACATTTCTTCTGCTTTTTCTTCAGAATCTGTGTGTTTTAAGAGCTGGCCGCTGGACTCGTCCTCCACAGTGGCAGAACCACAGTTTGGGCTTTGCCACAATCCACTTTTTTGCGTTGGGTGCTCTTGGGAAGAACAAATTTCATTTCTAGAGACATCTTCTGGGGCATTCAGTGGCAATGCTGACTCACAAGAGCTAGCCACCTGTGAGGCAGAAGAGGATTTTAAGTTAGCTTCACAATTTTGCTTGTTAACTAGTTCGTGCTCAGCAGCGAGGGGCAGATTCTCTCTGTTGACTGCAGACCTCGACATAGTCAGGTCTTGAAGAAACGGGGGCACGCCATTTCTCTTCTCATCCATCAAAATTCCAGTATGATCACCAGTGGACACGTCAAAGTTACTACCTTTGGATGTCACATGAGGTTTATTACTACTGCATTGTAAATACCCGTAGGGAGTAGAAACATCTTCTTGGTTATTAGTCACTGGCATTAGACCACCGCTTAATGGAGAGCAAGAGGGTAAGCTATCCAGTTTTAAAGGAGAGGAAGGACCATGTTGCTTTAACAGAGAGCAATTGGTAGACGCGCCTAAATTAGGACTTATGGTAGAAAAGTATTCAGCTGTCTCCATTTTTGTCCCAGGTTGCGCTATATTCATTTTGCTCCCTAAGGAGAAAAAAAAAATAAGCTGGTTTCAAATATACAGTTTTGGGGGTTTTTTTCCTACAAATGCTTGATAAATACACACATATTTCATCTATCCATTTTAATTTCCCTTCAATGCAGACCTATTTTTTCAGTCTGGGAATATATTTGCCATCACATTTTCAAGTGTATTTTTATCCAAGCTACAATTTCTTTTCATGAAAATGAAAACTCTCAAAACTCCAATAACAACAGCTTGCATATTATACAGAGGTCTCAGCTGTAGGGCTTTGACATCACATATTTAAACCAAATCTATTTTTATATTAGTCTGAAATGAGTAACCACAGAACTCACTGGGTGATTTGGGGCTAGTCAACTTGCGTTACCCCCCATCTCTCCCGCCCACAATTGTTCTTGGGTCTTCAAAATGGGGAGGGGGCTGCCTCCATACGTGCCATCTTTAGCTCTCAGAAAGGGCGGGGTGGTGGTGTCAGAGAATATAAATCAGTTAATAATAATCATACATACAGTATATGGACCATCACATATGCAAAAATGTTCAAACTGATTAGACTTCCAGTCTATATACAGTAGATGGGAAGTATGAAGTACTGTAAAATGAGAAGTTACCAAATGGTCGGAGATGAAGGTTATTAAGAAGGTAAGGTGGCTGAGATGAGACTCTATCAAAATGGGCAGGTTTTATTAAAATAATTTAAAGCATGAGGAAGTTCTGTATAGGACTAAGAAATATGAATTAGAGGCTTGCAAAGAACAAAGACTTAAGAGAAACTTGGTTAAAAAAAGAAAGGTAAAGAATGATCACATGATCGTGTCCATACATAAAACTACACAAGTGGTTGGCTATTGTTTCAATTGCTTCAGAGATTTTTTTCCCCCAGATTTCTCAGTCCAGCCTACACTCCAGGATTATAACTACTAAAGAGGTCCAAACCTGCTTAGCTTTTTCAAGGTCAGCACAGCCAAAAGCGAAAGAGAAATTTCAGAAAAGGGTGAGCAAAGAAATTTTTATTTAGAAAGAGGTGAGCAAAGAATGAAAAGGGAAAGGTAAATAGGAGAAAAGTCAGCAAGCAGGAAGTCACAATAAAACAGAGAGGATCTTTGGCAAGGACTGAAAGAAGAATGAATGCATGATGAGGGCTGTTCTGCAGATTTTTTTAAATAGTGGGGAAGTAACCCATTATTATTTGGATATAAGAAAAAAAGAGTAAAAGGGGGAATCCAAGAAGCCTCCAAACTGCTCTACTTTGGACCAGGCAAGAAGTAAATTTGTTTCTGTTTAAGTGAGAGTTATTTGCAACTTGAATTTCTATGAGTGTTATGCAAAGTGCAACAGGCATACAAACTTGCATTCTTTTAACACCATATAAATTGAGATGAGGAACCTGTTGGTCCTGCAGGTGCTACTGAATTGCATGCCCACCATCCTTTTTCGTTGGCCATGCCAGCTGGTGTTATTGGTTTTTTCCCCATCAAAACTATTTTTCCTATTATTCTTCCTGCTGTCTTAATGCCGTGTATTCTTAAGATTTAAAAAACCTAACAGAGTGAGCATGATCATCTTCTGCTGCTCACATATATTGCAAAACATAAAGCATGCCGGCTGGGGAATTCTGGGAGTTGAAGTCCAGACATCTTCAAGTTGCCAAGGTTGAGAAACACGGTTGTAAAACATAATGCTGAAATGCTTTTCCTCTCAATATTTTACTTTGTTCCACCTTGATACTTCTCATATTAGACATACAAATGCAAACTTCTGCAATGTGACCAATTCCAAATTCTAAAGTTCACCACTCCTCTCTCACTAGCACGCATCTATCACTATCAGCTGTTATTCAAAGCTCTGTTGTACCTACCCAAACTTTGTGACGTTCTCCTGTTATTTTCTGGCACTCCGTTTTTTCCCCTGACAGGTGCAGAGTGCTTTTTTTCGGCTAAACTTTGCTTCTTTGTTTCTGGCTTTTTCTTCGTTGCCCTGCGTGGCTCAGCTAACATTCTCACTTCCCGGGGGAAAGCAGTTAGCACCTGTATTGCCCCCGTTTTAATCTTGGCTTCCAGCCCCTCTTCTGTGCCAAATTCATCTGTCTGTGAAATTTTGTAAAGAGGTAACACATGAAGCTGCTCATCGTTTGGTATCACACCTACTGTACGGTTGTCTTCTTTTGTTAAAGTACAAACCTAGCCGGAAAAGGAAAAAAGCACATTTTTAATAATTATATTTATTTAGTGAAGAATATATTAAGTGAATTTTTAAGCTTAAAGGTAACAAATAGATAAGCTATTTCACTGCTCTTATCACAATTTTATATATGAGATATGTAAAACTTGACTAAAGTAACACTGATTATATTCTTGATATGGCCTAATGGCTAATCAATAATAATAAACAATAACAACACTGATTGTGGCTTGTTTCTAAGTTATCCATGAACAGTAGGTTATAATTTAAGTAGCATGACATTAAGGATATAATTCCATATAGATCTTATGAGAAATGTATCTGCTAACTGTAAGTATTATAGGAGTACAAGCTAAATTGAAGAAATGAGAAATAGAGTTTCAGTTATTTGGAAAATAATCTAAAGGGGGACTGGTTTGATCATAAAGAAGGAATGTGCCTCAACAGGATCACCAAAAGCCAGCTATCCTTCACCTGGCACCCTTCAGGTATTGGACTACAATTCCCCAAATCCTGTGCTGGGTGGGAGTTGTGGAACATTATCTAACACATATGAAGAGCTGGGAAAGGTTGCATTGTCTTGAACAAGCCTACGAAAGATAAGTTCCTCATCTACAGAAGCTCAGATAATGAAGGCCATTTAATAAAACCACACAGTAAGACTTCCTGCTGAATGGTGACTAAAAACACACATTTGTGAGAAAAACAGTGAGAGCTAGCTTGTCCAACATGCCTTGCCTTGATTGGGTTCTCTTACGCCACCAGACCCTTGGCTCAGAAGCAGGTAATTGTGATGGCAACTCTGAAAAGGCAAGGATTACAATCTCCCTTCTTAAAACTAATGAATGACACTTCAAGTTTGTTCTGCGGCCCTATGTATACCAAATTGCCCAAACCTGGAGTCCCTGTCCAGTGCATACATATGAGATGTTGGTGCCATTAGCTGAAAAGTCCCGGGTTCTGCACCATGAGCCTTATGCCTGGCTATAGCCACAGAGAGAGAAAGGCAATTAAGACGGCATTGGTGCTGCCTGGAGTAGCGTAAACCCTAATGAGGAAGGGATTCTAAGGGGGCCTTGGGGGAGGAGTGGGCAAGACGTTTGGGACTTGATCCCAGGCCAAATCTGTCATTCATAGACAAAAGGCTGGATGTGTCATTTCTTTCTCCCCAACACTCTTCCCTTCTTCAAATCACAAGCCTCCAAGGACAACCGGATCAGTGCTAAGTAGCTTATCTCACAAACAGCAGCTCAGTCCAGGCTGCACAAAATCCCAGGGAAGGACAAGAGATTCAAACGTCTGAAGAGATTTCTTCTTAATGCACTCGCTTATAAAAGAAGGCTGGGGGTTCCTACCACAGTTCTCAAGACTCTGTACCTTACCCCTAATACTTGCATTAAAATTCTTCATTGAAGTCTATGTGATTCTCGCTTCCTTGACTGTGCCCTGCATTCCTGGTCTTGATCATAATGACAGGAGAGACCCCTGAGAAATGGATCGATCAGCAAATGCTAACCACCCAGTCAGATAAGGTAGGCAACTTTCCTGCAGCTCAGGGCTATGAGCTGAATGTCAGCCTCACTGCCAAGATCTTGGCAGAATTTCCTGGATACTTGACTTGGCACAGTTTGACTAGGCTCTGAGCTCAAATCCAGCCTAAGGACCCCAGACACACACAATAACTTAGATAAGAATCTTTCTTGCCTGCTAGGAAGAAGCCACGAAAAGAGTTGATGGCCCTCTGTCAACATGGAAGTGCAATTCCTTTTTTATTCCCACTGCATTCTGGTTCAGGGGCTTCTTTCTCCCCCACCCCCCACCCCCCAATGTTTACACGAACTTTCTGCCCTGCACTTTTTGGCCTTGAAGCTCAGGGGACTGACATCCCTGCCCTGATAATTTTTTTCTCTCAATTTATGAAATCATAACTAGAGATTTAGAGGTGAATTTTGTACAGGACTGTAGAAACTAACAAATTCTTAAGCAGTATTTAACCTTAGTAACCAAGAAAGCAATAATTTATTGTACATTCATTGCACTTTATATCATTTATGGTAGGAGAATGAAAAAAAAAAGGGAAATCAAGTAAAAAGAGAGCATGCACCTATGATGCAGCTATGTGGCAAAGAGGAAACAGCATCCTGAATGTTACGTACCACAGTGCTTCCATTGTGCATGTTGTGAGTATCCTTGTGTGCATGGGCACAGAAATCAATGCAAGCTGTCACACCAGAGAAAGGCCGGCCATTCTTGGTCCCAAGCCGACAGTCAGGACCCAGATGCTCGTTTTCCACCTTAGAAAACAAGGCAATGAGGTCTTATTTCAGGAAGAGAGTGTAGCACATTGGATCTTGCCAGCTTCAGGGGCACATTTCATTTGTAATCAAAGCAAGAGGGAGAAAACACAGACTTACACGTTACCCATGTACTGTTGTTTACAAAGCTTACATCTTTTCTGCTGATTGTTATTTCATTTATGCATTTTTAATTGCTACACAGAGCAGGGATGCTGCAACAGCCAAATTCAGGGAACTTCTGCTGCCCTTGAAGGGTTAAAATGTGATCACAATCATATTTAATTGTATTTTTTAAAAAATTCAGAAGAGATGTCCTTAATCCAGTTCCCTCTTTCTCTCCTATCTAATGCTCACTTTCAGAAGGAAGTAGGTGGGTTCACATAAAACTAAGCCAAACTGGTAGTCCTTGCTTAACAACAGTAATTAGGACCAGAATCCCAGCACTCCCCATTGCCGTTATTAAGCAAGAATCACAGGTCATTAAAGCGATCCCCAGGTGGTTTTCAAGCAGGCAGGTAAAGCACCACACATGTGCAGTGGGGCCAGGAGTGGCTGCTGCCAGGCAAGGGGAGGGTGCAAGCAACTTGCCAGAGTGACTTGCAAGCTTCTCTCCCAGCTTCCCCATTGACTTTGCTTGTGGGAAGCTGGCAGGGAAGGCTGCAAATGGCAATCATGTGACTGCAGGATGCTGCAACCATGGTAAGCACGAGCTGGTTGCCAAGTGCCCAGATCGCCATCACGTGACTGAGGGGGTGCCAGGACGGCTGGAACTTCGAGGACCGGTCGTAAGACTCCTCTGTCAGCACCGTCATAATTTCAAACAGTTGCTGAACGAACGGTTATTAAGCAAGGACTACCTGTAGTTCCATTTGACTATATTTTGTTGCTTATGCCAAAATAGATGGATTTACACATAATGCTACACTAAGCTTGAGCAACCTCATGCTGGCTGAAGGTGACACAACGTTTGGGGGGAACAGAGGGCCACAAAGGGGGGGCACTTCAGGCATGGGTTTGCAGGGGAGGTCTGGGGTTGCTTTTTTGTGTTTTAGTTATGCTTATTTTTGGGTTTTTCTTTTTGGGATTATGAGTTTCCTACCTCAATAGGTGCTGTTGGTTTTCAACACTCATGGAAAGAGGGAAATAGGAGAGGGCTTATAAGGGCTGCAAAAATAAAGATTTGGGGCCATAAGTTGTCCATTCCTGCACAAAGCAATAAATCATTGTTTACAAAGCATAAAAGGAGAGTTCACACATTATACTAGCTTAAAATCCAAGAAACAATATTGAGGGTTAGTGCAATCTGTGGATTCAGCTAGTAAGTAAGTGCCTCTGGACATCATGGAGTATTCACCAACCTACCTGGTTCTGGAAAGCATCAGGGGCAAGTTTCTGATATAATGGAGCCACATCAGTAGCTAAAGTCTGCAAATTGTTTTCCAGATTTTCTTCCTAGAAACAGAGAAAGCAATTACTCCATAACTGTATTGTTTATGAACAGGCCAATTAGTGAAAGCAACATTAATTGCAACTTATATTTGAAACCTAAGTTTCCTACTGTAATATTGAAACACTCAAAATATTTAAAAGTTGGTCAGACAGTATTACTTTCTCCCTTGCAAGGAGTCAATTTCTTAGCCCAACAGCTACTAACAATATTAGAAAGGATATCAGGCTGGCAATGAAAGAGGGACGTTTCCCCCCCTTCAATATACTGTATATAGGTACTCCTCAACTTCTGACAGCAACTGGAACCAGAATTTCCATTGCTAAGCAATGTGGTCATAAAGCATGACCGCATCACTTAGTGACAGCAATCCCTGCAGTCCCAGTTGCTTCGTTAACCGAATCCCATGCTCGTTAGGTGAGGTAACTTCCTGCTGGCTTCCAACAACCAAAGTCAGTGGAGAAGCTGGCAGGAAACTCAAGTCCCAGGCCAGCAGGCAGGTAAGTGGCTGCTGCCGGGTGGGGGAGGGAGCGAGTGGGTGCGACGAGGGTTGGGGAGGGTCCACGAGTGGAGCAGTGCAGGCCGGGGAGGGTGTGCAAGGGTGTGTGAGGGTCAGGAGGGTGTCCGAGAGGCATGGTGCTGGTCGGGGAGGGGTTGTGAGGGTGCACTAGAGGTGTGGTATGGCTTGGGGAGGATATGTGAGGGTGCAGTGCAGTTTGGGGAGGGTGCGTGAGAGGCATGGGGGGGTTGGGGAGGCTGTGCGAGAAGCGTGGTAAGGGTTGGAGAGAGTGCAGCAAGGATTGGGGAGGAGCAGTAAGGGTGCAGCACAAGTCAGGGAGGGTGCAGTGTGGGTTGAGGAGGGTACGTGAGGGTGTGGGGGATGTGTGAGTGGCCAGTGCAGTGCAAGCGCAGAGGGGCTAGAGGAGGGTGTATGGGTAGGGGAGACTTACCCCAGCAACATGTGACCTTCCCTGACGGCTTCCCCACTGACTTTCTGGGGAAGCCGTCCGGGAAGGTTGCAAATGGCAATCACATGATCGCAGGGCACTGGAAGTGGTTGTAAGTTCGAACTGGTTGCCAAGCACCCAGATTGCGATCATGTGACTGTGGGGATGCTGGGACGGCCAGAACTCCGAGGACCAGTTATAACCACCATTTGTTCAGCGCCGTCATAACTTTGAATGGTTGTAGGTCAAGGACTACCTGTATCAAATTGTAAGATGTACTACATAACTGACAAAACAGCTGTTAAACTTACACTCTTTTATGCATTTTCATACATTGTTTTAGGAAAATAATTATGACTACTCTGTCTTAAGAAGTTTATTTTATTATCCTCTGAGGGGAAGAGACATAAGATTGAAGCTGAATAACAGCAGTTTGTTCAAAGATCCTTTTGAGTCTATGAAATGGGGATTCAGTAGGTCAAACATCCAGCTCTTTCAGGAAAGAGGCAAGAGAACCCCACAAAACAAACAACAGTTGCTTTAAAAGCAATGTTAAGTTCTGCTTGAGAAAAAAAGAACGGTTAGCATGTAGGTGGCCCATTTTGTACTTGTAAAAGCCAACACATCAGTTTGTCACAACAATACAGTAGCTTTAGAAATTATGGGATTCAGACAATAACAAACTTTGATGGTGCCCAGTTAGCTAACGTGGCTAATGTCAGTAGGCTTAGCAGGACTGGGCCTGGCTGATATTTGGATGGGAGAATATCAGGAAATCCCAGGGCCGTAAGATCGATTGGGAAGCCGAAAACATATATTAAAAGAAGGAAAGGGCAAACTGTTCCTGTACTATTCCCAAGAGAACTGCTGAAATGCATCCATAAATTCACCTGGAGAAGTTTGACTCAAGAAGACTTTTACATTACAGATGTTTAGGTATGGAAAATACTCCGCTATTTAAAAACAGAGTAATATCCATTAAAATAATACCATAATAAATGGCATTCCTCTAAAACTTCAGACACCAACGGCTTCTGTATTAAAAAAAAATAAATCATGAAGCTATAAAAAGTGTCAGAGGAAAACCATAGGTGGATTTTTCTTCTTAACTTATGCACAATGTTCAAAATAGTCCTATTTCCCAAGCTGATATAACTTCATATCAGTTTTGGCTATAACACTTAACAACACATACATACATTTCACTAGACACTTAAGCTTGTGCTTTAAAAAAAACAAAAAAACAACAGCTTAGTGTGTCTCATCCAGATCCTATGCTGTGACTAAACGTAAATGTGGATTGTTGAATCATACCACCCATAACCTGTAGTTTATTGATTGATTTATTCATTCCACAAAATATCTCACTACAATCCAATAAGGTGGTCTGAACTTGGCATGCTATTAAGCAAGTCATGGTCAAAGCTAACCCATTTGTTGTGCTAGAAAAGCAGAACAAGTCATAATTAACCAGAACAGAAATGAAAGGGGTGCTTTAAATTCTTCCTCGTACTGCAGTAACGGGGCAAAGAGTATGGGGTCAATAGCTTCTTGCAGCTCATTCTTGAACACTAGGCTACAGTTTAGCAGAATGAGTGAATCACAATAGCATAAATTCTCCCACATAAAAGTGTGGTTACCTGTCAAACAGTTCTTGACTACTTTCTAGACAACAGATTTTTCTAGCTTTATCTCTATACTACAAGCTATTCTTACCTAAAAAGCATAATTTTATACTTCTTTACATTTAACCTCATCTCACTCCGTCCAGTGGTTCAAATGATCCATATCTGTCTTTACTTTCAATCTATCTTCTTCTGCATTTGCATTGCTATACATCCTAGCTTTATGTCATCTGTAAAATGATCAATATTTAATATTTAGCTAAAATAGAAGAATCTAATAAAAACAATTAAAAGAAGCAGTTTGATTAGTGGTTTGTTCTATGAACTTTTTGACCCCCCAAATAAGAATTCTACAACCAATTGCCTGCTTCAGGAGTATGTACTAGAACGCTGGAGATTAGCAAACCTGTACATGATGAGAACACACACTTGTGAAATGTTCCATATTTTTAAAACAAGGAAACATTTTATAAAATGGATTGCGTGTATACATTAGTCACCATGAAGGTGAGTATTTGAGTCTTAACAGGAAAGCAAAAACACGCAAAGCATGCAGATCGGTAAATTATGGTGGATGGCTATGAGATCAGAGGCATGAAAGCATGGTATTTTGGAGCTGTCAGGAAGTGAGACTTTATCTGCTGTAAGCCAAGTCACATACAAGTGATTTACTGTATATAAACAGAACTGCTCATAGTAATGCTTCACTTGCACATCTAAACCAGAGAAAAAGGATGTAATCTAATGCAATTCCATTAATTCTCAACAGCTTTTAACGTTTATGATACCTGTGCCCTTAACTTGTAGCATTAAAAATTGTATTATGGAAGAAGGAGGGGAGAATACTTACTTGCATGTGATCATCTGTGAGAAGTCTAAATTTCCTGGGGGTTTTGCTTCTGGCAAACTTACAGCCATTGTAATACATGCTCCAAGAACAGCCAAATGAAAATGATGCTCCACATGTCTCTGGGTTGAGACCTTGACAGGCACAAGTACGACTAGAAAAATGAACCAAAAGGCAATCAGCTAGTTGGGCAAGATCCTCATCTTCAGCAACCTGATGCCCAGAAATCCCTGTCAGCATAAGTAATGCACTGAAAGCGAGCACATCTGGGGAATTCTTGGTTTTATATGCTTGTGATACAGATATAATTTGCGTTATTCTGAATGGAATAGAATAGAGAATTCATGCAGTCATTGGCTGCTTCTGATTATGACCACTGTAAGAATGAATCAGACATGATGAATCTCATCCTGTGGACTTAAAAGCGTTCCAGTTTTTAATTTCCACCACAGCGTAGGCAATCATTAAACATGGAAGATTCCAGGGCTTTGGCAAATATGTTGTTGCTGTCACATCAGATTATTTAGCAATACAAGAATAACTCCCCAATCAATCATGGGTCCAAGCAACAAGAAAAGAAATTTCCATAACCAACTTTAATGTATCTTTTTGTTGCTTGAATGTAGCTACTATCACACAAGTACACACACAGAGGCCTAAAGTAGGTCTATCAGATTGATTAGATACTGTTAACTGTGTTATTTATTAGAAATAAATGGTGCACTTCTTTGTGGCTTAGTATTTTTTTCACTTTGGACCATGTAAAAACACAATTGTGCCATCACTGAGGCAGCTTCAGATAGCCACCCATCCTCAGTTACTAGTTTTGTGGAAGACTGAGTCCTGGTCACCCAAACATGTCCAGGACAAAGCAAGCCACTTCCAGTTCCTGCTCCAGAAGATTCACTTCCAGAAAATGACCAGCCACTCCTGGAATTGTCTAATTGGGGCATTCTAAGGGAACACCAGAAAGTTCCATGACTGGAATGCAGAATTTTGCACCGAGTTTTCCAGCATTAAAATCCTGCCTCAAAAATCCAACTGCTACATCCCACTGACAATCAATGGCTTTTTGAAGCAACTGTGAGCAAAAAAAGGCTCATGTGAAAGAAACAAATGCTTATATGAAAGGGATTACATATGCTATTTTTGTTTTCAGAAATTCTACATTACTATTGGATTCCAATCACAGAATCATGATTTAAAAGTGGTATGCATAGTGCATTCCATACATATCTGCTCATTCTCAGCATCTCTTTTAAAAGTAAATCTGTGAGCAAAACTTTGTACATTCACAAATTTTAGTCCAGTAGGCTTGTAAAAGAACTTGATATGCATACTGACTCATTATAAACATAGAAATCCAATTCTGATTCATTCAGATCTGATTAGCTTAACATATAGCATTTTCTTTAAGCAATCTAAGACCCACTAGATAAAGATACGTATATACGGCAAGAAGGAAATTGGTACATGGAAATCAACATTTTAATATTTTGATCTCAGTATCAAAACACAAAACAAAACACTTCAAAGCACATCACCTAGCATCAGCTTGTGCAAGTTCTCACTGGAAACAGTACTTAATGTAGATGGAAGTAGACTTGTTCGTTGTAGGTCGACAAGGCCTTAATTTCAAGTTAGGTGACTTAACACTTGGATAATCCTGGCCATGTGAGAATGGTTTGTTAGGTTACAATGGTTGAGAATTCTTGCTTAGTACAAATGAGCAGTGCATGACTACATACTTCTATTTGGCCTCTCCTGTCAGTAGGAGTTGCTAAAGTGAATAACACATATTTGTGTGAGTTATTTAGCATAATGTCCACATCAGGTTATTTGTTTTGTTCTGATCTTGGTTTTCAACTCAAATCAGATTTGAGAGCCAAGAACAAAGTACTCAAGTTTTGTTAGGATGGGCATAAGACAGATGCTTAATTTCAGGCATCACACCAAACAAACCTAAAAAGGGACTTCTAAGGTTGAACTGCAGCAGCCATCAGTAAAAGCCAATTTGGAATGATGAACCAGTGGTACACTAGCACACTGTCACTTCACACTAAGACAGAAGTTTCAACTATACTGTTTGTATTTTGCTATCTACAAAAAATGCAGTGCTCTCCTCAAAGATTATCACCTCTAGAAGATATCACAAGCGATACAGAAAGCTGTGGCCTAACAACAGGGCACATTCTTAAAAAATATAAGAGAAATTCTGTTTTCATATAATCTAGTTTTGCCAGGATAAAAACTGAAAAAGCAGAAAGTTCATTTTGGTCCTCCTAACACATTACACTTAGAATGTTGTCTGCACTCTACTAGAAAGTAGAAATTATTGTAAGCATCTTTTTCAAGTGGAATGACCATAGTGTGACAGTCAATCAAGTAAGACTACTACTCTCTCATGCATCCAAACCTGAGCAATTTAAAGCATACTTACTCTTCATTTAATGCACATCTACGGCTGGTTGGACAGCCATATTTTCTGAGACTCTGAGTCAGTTCCTTGTACAACGTGTCAGCAAGAAGGTGAGGAATCCCTTCCCAAGCCAAAATGAGTATCACAATCACAGCAGTTTGGCAGTGATGTCCCGCACGCTGACGAACTAAGCACAGCAGTTTTTCTTCATCACTACTTCTCCGTATCACCTGGAAGACAAATCAATTGTTTTCAGATTAACCAGGGAAGATCCAAGAATGGAGAGCTAGTTATATCCTTAGAAAGAGCTACAGTATGAGGGGTGAGCAAGTTCAAAATAGTGGGCATGAGCACCAAGTGTCTGAAGCCCCACAATGCACATTAAAAGGGCAGGACTTGGATCACCTTGTCACACCTGCCATTTTTATGTTGTTGACACCCTCACCTCACCTTGACACCATCTGGTGCTGCCATGACACACTACTGGATTTATTTTGCAGATAATATTATTGCTGTAACTGCCTATTGATCAAGAGTTTTTTCTTCCTCTTGTGGTTTTCACCACCCTCTCTCTCTCTGGATAATTAATGAGAGTACATCACAGGTTGAAAGCCCTTGCAGACAGTTCTGAAATTCTAATTTATATAGTTTTTCCTGAAATAAGCTCAAACACAAAGACAAAATTTTGGTTTGGTAAATGTATCCACTAAATTCCCAACAGTTTTATTCTCAAGTATTTATTCAACACTATTTGTGTATTGAAGTATCTACTTGCTAATTAGGGAATAAATGTTAAAATTTACAAACGGACATGTTTTTAAAAAGAAGATGTGATCCTGGAGCAAGGCTACTTCCACTGTGTGAATTTCATTTGTCTTTGAAAGCAACTTCCTACCATTCAAACATCTGCAAAGTGCTACCCATTAAACCAAGACAGTAACAAAAGATTTGCAATTAAACCAGACAGACTTGGGAGGATAAATCACATTTCTTAAGACAAAAGTCGCAGGGTATTCCGTGTTGTTGTATCACAATGAAAACGGCTGGAATCATCAGCAGTCCAATGAATCAAAATGATACTTGCGTAAAATGATGGCAGTTTCTTCAGATATACCACTCTGACAGTCTTTAGCAAGCACATACAGAATAGGGACAGGTTTTCCCATTTTCTATCTCCTTGGCAGAGTGCTACTTCTGCATGTCATTCATACCTCAATAGGAGGCGAGAGAGGCACCCCTGAATTCAACAGCTCTCCTTCCAATACAATTCTTCTCTCTCAAAACACCTTACATTTCCCTTGACATCTAAAAGCACGTACAGATCTCCATTCTCTTGCTAGCTTTCTGGTAGAAAGGCAGGTTATAAATCTTACCCTTTCATCCGTGCTTCATTTTTTTTAAAAACAAATCTATCACTGAAGATAGATGTCAAGGCAAAATTTAAAACTATAGTATGTACAGTCTTTCCCCTCAATATTATTTCGCAAGTGTCTAACTACATTTTACATGCCCATGTGTTACTATTATTTCAAAATGAATGTCTGCAATAAATATTATTATTACTAAAGGGTAGAAAATGTTAAACTAGCAAGGGAGTAAAACAATTTTCTCAACACTAGGAATAAACTTTTTTATGAACCATCACATTAGTTTCCCTAATAACCTAATATACAAGTTGGGAAATTGATTCCAGGCTGTTATCATCATCTCTAACTTTGTATTTCTAACAATATAGTTTTCCCAGTAATGTAGCACCTGTTAGTTTTCCAATGGGTGTGATTCAAAAGACTTATTTAGATCTGTTTCAGATAACAATTATGCAGAACAAAGAACTTTGGACTCATAAAGAAGGCATACGAAATAATATATCTCAGCTGATCCTTGTAGAACACCAATAATCACGCCTTAGATCTACAAGCACAGCACTCACCAGCACACTTCTAACCCAAAGCTGAATGCATTATATTCCTTTTGGAACAAGAAGCAATCACTGCCTTACCACCATTATATTTTACAAACTTCTTGTATATAAGAATTGTGTAGGCAGTGCAGCTGTAGGATGTTTATTCCTAACTCACTCTTTGGGGAGGAAGAATAATTACTTAATATTGTAATTTGAATATGCAAATACAGATTAGTTTATGGCAGACTAACGTACTTCAGGATTTTTCTAGCTGTAATTCTCACATTCTCTTGCCACTAGAGCTGATGGAAATTAAAGTCCAAAATGACTAGAGGGCATCAGATGGTCAAACTCTGGGTCAGATTGCTTAGGGAAAAAAATCATTCTCAGTCCAACTTTTCTTTCATGATGCTCAGGAGGCCACATGGAATTCAAAGAGAATCTCCCACATAATCAACAACCAGTCCTGATCTGCTTTTCTTCACTTTCCCTACACATTTCGCCTGTCTACTGTACAAGGAGGTACAAGGAATGAGTGGAACACATTTAATGTCTAACCATAAGCCTAGATAAGTGTGATGTTTGAATACATACCCTCAGTACACACTCAATTACTGACCTTGTTATAAAAATTTTGTTATAAAAAAACAGAGATGAAAGATTAAACTAACATCTACCACATATTTAGATCTTCTAGTATTATGGTGTATTTTAACATCTTTTTTCTGTTCAATTATGTTAATATTGCATAATCATACTCATTCAGAATACAGCATAATCAACACACAGCCCCTTTTACCACTGTGAATAGCATCAGAGATGAAAGTCATGGGCTGATTCAGATATGTAGAAAAAGCACATGGCATAGTCTTTACTACATTCTGCCTGAGGGTGGGCAGGGAGAAAGAGGAGAAAGAAATCACGTATTTGTATGCATCAGAAATTCATGAGAAAGGGCTTATCAAAGTAGTTGCTGACCTACAAAATGTTTCACGGACAGAGACCTATTTTGTTTCTAAGGGGTCGTGTGATTCTACAGGTACATCTGGCGTCTGAACTGACACAGTCCACGAATGAAGGAACAACATGCTATATATGCGTGCCTCTCTTGACCTTCTTTGATTACTATATTCCTGCTCAGTTGCACACTCTGATATAGAGGATCAACCTCTGGCCCAAATTTATCTTGAGGATGATGGCATTCCCATCATTTCTCTACCCCAAATTTCCTCAATACGAAATGAGCAGGGAGAAGACTATAATACAGGGTCTTTCCAAGTTGAAATAACTTTCTATTGTACTGCTGATTCCATGATAGCACATGATTAACAATGATTATGCCAGAATGTTTTTATAATGTTGTACAATCAAGTAAGATGTACATATTTAATTCCTTCATTAACATATATGTAAAATTCTACTGAAATTAAATGTTTCCAATTATGCAAAAGAATGTAATCTAAGTGTGTTTTTTTTTTTTAAGTTAGTATCATGGGCAACCATATTTCCTAGAGCAACTTAATTGCTTGGATTCTACTTACTTGAAATATTTCTCTTAGATTGGTGAAGCAACTGTCTCAACCCTTGGCAGGATCTCTGGAATAAGGAACAAGTTCTCTGTGAATAAAGATTACTTGAGGTAGACTGTCCCTTCAAAAATAGCCAAACTAACTAGTATGCATGTGTTTGGATTAATACACATAAAAATGCAGAAATGACCTTGCACTATAGTAGTAAGCTCAGGAATTAGATGAAAAATGAATTTCTCTTTAAATTAGTATAAATTAGAGCAAAAAAGCAGAATGGAGGACTCTAGGTGCCCACAGTTGTCAGCCCCAGATACAAGGCCAACTTGAGCTAATACTGCAGAAACGCACAACACATGCAATGTGGAAGGAACCACAAATGAAGCTGGCGAAGAACGCCCGCTCCCACCAGCATCAAGAATAAGCAAAGAAGCAAACCAAACACCATATGCTATAAGCTTGTTCCATCCAAAATATACAAACAGAGTGATATATTTAGACACTGAAATGCTGCCAGAAGTTACATCTAACCTACTTTTCTTCAATTAACAAAGAAAGATACAATAACAAATACAACTTTACTGTATTTCTGGCCCAGCTACCACTGCACTCAACAACAGGATGCTGATACAAATATGGGAAGAGAATCCTCTCCTGCATAGTTCTCGCTGTGCAAATCTGTGTCTTTCTGCATGCAAGTGTCATGGCCTATCCTAACCTCCCTGCATTGTCCATAGCAGTGTTTCTTAACCTTGGGAACTTTAAGATGTGTGGACTTCAACTCCCAGTGTTCCCATGCAAGAAACACTGGTCCATAGTAAACACCCTCTGCTTCGCCCCATTCAATTCAAATGACCAGAAATCGCCAAGCATTTAAATGTGCAAGGTCCCCTTGGTCTCCTTCCCTTTGCTTGTTATGCTGAGATATGTATGAATGTAGAGGTGCCTCCAGGTGGTCACTGTAACTTGAAACACCATACACAATATACACTGTGTAAAAATAAAGAAATTCCCCCTCTCTCATGTAACGCCCCATATATGGGGGCATGGCATAATCTAAATCTGTACTATTATCTCTGAGAGCTTAAGGAAGGGTGGGCTGTATAAGCCATTCTGGTGGTGCTTTTAGAAGTGCACAGAAAAGCTGTGATTCCCAGCAGTGAATGCACTTGGTCATAAAGCTGAAGGAAACAGCCCAAGCAGAAGGTATCTGCTATTAACACAGCAGAGGAGGGATGGGAGGTGGCTGTTAGGCATCACCCAGACCAAAAGCCAGACATTCAAGGAAACAGCTCTGATAGGATACTGTTATTCTAGAAAAGCTCCCAATAATGAAGAGCCCATCTATTATAGTCAGGGGTTTAAACCCTTTATACAGCAGTCCCAAGGTCCAAATCCTATGGCTTTCTCTTCAGCCCTTACATCACCACAGACTGAGAGCCACTTGTTTCTCAGAAAGAAAGGTGTCGGGCACCTAGGCATTATTTTAACAAAACAGTCGGGTCTCGGGTTTTCTGCTTCTAACATTGCTTTCAAAGCGTTCTGTAACCAACTCCAAGTGAGTGACTTCCTTGCCTTATGTGCTAAAACACAGGTCTGGCCTCAACCTGGTTTCCTGGGCATCTCAAATACCTACCTTCTGGAGGAATAACCTGATATCTATCATAATTCCTGGTGTGCTGAGCCTCATCCTTAAACCTCATCAAGGGGCTTCAGAATGGTGCCTCTTCCCCCTCATATATTTATATTTTTCAGTTTCAAATGAATTGTACAATCCAAATAAAGTAGCCCCAAATAATGC